GGAATTGCAATGCGAGTGACTTTTGGCCGAGGGTCACATCATTTTTTTATTTTTATTTTTTTTTGGGACAATTGCTCCAGTCTATCCGTGGGGAGCAGCACGTGCTGGGAACCGGACCCAGCGTCCCATCAGAATCTCACATCAGAACTCCCCACAGAATCAAAGATTAAAAAAAAAAAACCAACAGAATCAGACTAAGGCACCCCCTTTTAAACCCCTTTGGCCCCTTAAAAACCAATTGATACCCCCTTTTCCTCCCTCGACAGCCAACACTCGGAAAAAGAAAGGAGCCCGGATTTGGGCTCCTCCGGGCCGGGCCCCACTAGCACCATTTCCTTCCTACAGTGGTGCGTGACGATGTTTTCGCATTTAAGAATCGTTTTCCCATTATTTTTTTTCCAGCTTTAGAAAACTCGTTTTCTACGAGTTAGAGAAAGCAAAATCCTTCTCTGGGTTTCCCAGCACGTTGTGCTCCCCACGAGCCAGGTGGTTTTTTTTTTTTTTTTTTTTTTTTAGAAAGCAAAATCCTTCTCTGGGTTTTACCGTCAGCCAATGGGCTTGGAGCCAGTGGACTCCTAGCCACATTTTTAGGATGGGTTCTTCCATCAGCCAATGGGCTGCGTCCTCTGAAAAAGGACATGCTGCTTGTCCGTGATTGGCCGAAACATGTGTTGCTGTTCTGTGTTGAAACAAGGATACCGATCAACGGACTGTCTGCGTCACTCTCGGTCACACGTGGTTGTAAAAAAGAAAAGAGAAAACTACGGCGGAGTCGGGGTTTTAGTTTGAAGATGCACTTGTTGAGGCAAAAGGCCTGAAAATTTTGACAATGTATACACGCTTAGTTTCCGGTCCGGCAGGGTCACGTGGGGAAGTGTTATGTTCGGGGGAATGCCTGGAGTGCATTTTCAAACTGTTTTCGTGACTGCCGCGTCGTAGTTACACCCTGCTGAGCAACTTCCCTGGGCTGCACGGCCGTGCTGCATGGCTACCGTAGGTGAGACAAGCAAGCACAGCCTAGTAGAAACAAGGCCAACCTCCTCCTCTTTAACAGGTACGTACCATTTGCTGTATTGTCTCGCTCTTTCATTCTGTGCTGCAGGTTTACGTGGACTGCAGTTTCAACGTGGATCCTATCCACGAGAAGGTTAGCCACGAGTCGTGCGGAATCAAGAAGATCAGAACCGGGAGCGGATGACATGCATACGCTCATTGCCCGCTGTGGAAGGGAATTGATTTCAGGTATTACAGTACTATTACTACATACTAATACATTGCAACAACCTTTAAAAGAAGAGGATGAAACTGCACTGTCTTTTGTTAACAGGATTGCCCTATAATCTTTTTTTTTTTTTTTTTTTTTTTTTTTTTTTTGCCCTATCATCTAATTCCATCAGCTTTTGAAGTTCAAAGTTCGAACTCATGATCTGCTTATTATAAACCACAAGCACTTTTCTAAAGTCCTGCCCGTTAACAAGAAGGCACGGTTTTAGGAAACGGATGCGCCGATAGCTGGACCGAGTACTGGTGGCTTAGCAGTTACATGTGCAATCATTCTGCTGCAGTGCCATGGGCTCGGTCAGATCAAACTGCCCATTATTTGAATCAATTTGCCAAATTGAGATGAATGCCTTAAGAAATTATTAACACAACAAGTAAATCCAAAAGCATAGTCAAAAGGTTAAGGCATGCTTCTTTGGTCCAATGTTCAGCTGGCATGGAACGACGGCCATGCAAAACCCCAAAGAATGCTTAGAAATCTGAAACTTTACTGGAACAACTGATGGTGCAGAAGAGGAGATTCCAATTCCGTCTCTCGCTCTCTCTCTCTCTCTCACATACACACACTCACAGACATACGATTCTCTCTCTCTCTCTCTCTCTCTCTCTCTCTCTCTCTCTCTCTCTCTCTCTCTCTCTCTCTCTCTCTCTCTCTCTCTCTCTCTCCTTTCATATGGCTCTCTTTGGTGATCAACGGGTCAATAGACCTGTGGGTTGATGGACCAAGCACTGGAACTCTTCCTCTGTCT